TCAATCTACTCAATATTAGGCGAGTGGTCATAATGGTATGGCTGATCAGAGTATAAGAACTGGCAAGCATGAAAGTTAACCTTTAAAATAAACGCTCAAATTGTGTACTCCTTGAAAAACACACTACTGTTTCCCTTAGCTTAGCTCACCACTCTCTTCTAATCACTTTCTCCCAATGCAAAGAGGAAGCTGGTCCTGACACTGATTGGAGTGAAGTGATAAGCTGTTTCTCATGACAAAACATTGTGTCCTGACAAATGACTTCAGCACTCTGCTCTAATTATGCAGCCGTCAGGACTAAGTGAAGATACAAAACTGCAGACCTAAAATGGGTTGCAAAGTGACATCAAGTTAGGGCTAGAAAGCCTTTAAATACACAAACAACATTCACTAAGGCAAGATTTACATTAACAAAATTGTGAGACAATTACATTCAGGAAAATAATCAAAGCTCCTAGACACATAAGCATTTTATTCTTCTGTGTTCCCCTACTAAAGACAAAATAATTGATGGCTGTGATTTGGAGAATTAAAGTGTCTGCAAGAAAGTGAGAAAAAAAAGAAAAGGAAAAAAAAAGACAGGATGAAGCACTTTTAATCTTGCAGAGAAAACAAACAAGCTGCCTTCATATCTTATACTTCCTTTCATGAAAAATTGGAATATAAGGAATACCTACATTGGTTTGCATGAGGATAATGTGCCCTGCCACACTGCAAAAATGGTTTAAGAATGGTTTGATGAACACAACATGTTTGAGTTGTTGACTTTGCCTCCAAATTCTCCAGATCTCAAACTAATCGAGCATCTGTGGGATGTGCCGGAAAAACAAGTCCGATCCATGGAGCCCCTACTTTGCCACTTACGGGACTTAAAGGATCTGCTATTGACGGCTTGGTGCCAAATACCACAGCATACCTTCAGAGGTCTAGTGAAGTCCATGCCTCAATCTACTCAATATTAGGCGAGTGGTCATAATGGTATGGCTGATCAGAGTATAAGAACTGGCAAGCATGAAAGTTAACCTTTAAAATAAACGCTCAAATTGTGTCCTCCTTGAAAAACACACTACTGTTTCCCTTAGCTTAGCTCACCACTCTCTTCTAATCACTTTCTCCCAATGCAAAGAGGAAGCTGGTCCTGACACTGATTGGAGTTAAGTTATAAGCTGTTTCTCATGACAAAACATTGTGTCCTGACAAATGACTTCAGCACTCTGCTCTAATTATGCAGCCGTCAGGACTAAGTGAAGATACAAAACTGCAGACCTAAAATGGGTTGCAAAGTGACATCAAGTTAGGGCTAGAAAGCCTTTAAATACACAAACAACATTCACTAAGGCAAGATTTACATTAACAAAATTGTGAGACAATTACATTCAGGAAAATAATCAAAGCTCCTAGACACATAAGCATTTTATTCTTCTGTGTTCCCCTACTAAAGACAAAATAATTGATGGCTGTGATTTGGAGAATTAAAGTGTCTGCAAGAAAGTGAGAAAAAAAAGAAAAGGAAAAAAAAAGACAGGATGAAGCACTTTTAATCTTGCAGAGAAAACAAACAAGCTGCCTTCATATCTTATACTTCCTTTCATGAAAAATTGGAATATAAGGAATACCTACATTGGCCAGCTCAAAATGTTTTACACATGAAAGGGAATGTTGCTTA